AAATGTCCAACTAGCCATTCTAATATGCAGTCATGAATGGGTTGATGTTATTTATACAATTATTGCAATATTGCAGTAGTCTGCATAACAGTAAATCTTCTATTTTTTGTTTGAATAAAAATTCAAAGTAGAAAGCAAGAGTAATATCAAGAGGGGCCTGGAGACGTGACTGACGAACAAAGAAAATGTTATTATAGAGCCAGGAATGTCTGCATTGTTCATTCTGGACCCTATTTTGAAATTGGCATATTTTTTATTTTGCCTGAAATTGGCCAAATTGCCAATTTCTGACCACTTTATTGGGAAGTTTAAATCGGTAAATGGGCAGTTTCTTGTACTCAATCAATAGAACAGATGGAGCTCTAAATAAATAGTTATGAGTTTGGTCGACTGGAACAATGGAATTAACCAAAAATAGGGCTCAAATTGGGCAAAATTGTCAATTTGTAAATATCGCCTAGGTCGCTAACTTTGCGAGAGCGTAATTCTGTAAGTTTTCCATCAAATTTCACACTTTTGGTGTCATTACCATCGGGTAAAGATTCTCTATCATTTCATAAGAAAAAATAATTTTTTTTTTTCAAATATTTTGCGCCACCAGGAGACACCTTAGGATTTGGGGTTTCGACAGTCAAAGGGTTAAGGTAAGTAATGAGTGAACTGTATATGCATTTTATCGCTCTGGGATGCTTTAACCCTTTCAGGGTTGGTACCGTACTAGTACAGCTTGCTCGCCAGGGTTGGTGCCGTACTAGTACGCATAATTCTAGTGCCTTCAAATCTAACGAGAGAAAGCTGGTAGGCCTACACATGAAAGAATGGGTCTGTGTGGTCAGTGTGCACAGTATAAAAAAAATCCTGCAGCGCACAGTGCATAATGCGAAAAAAAAAACTCCGACCTTGTTTTTGCTTTAACCTGTAAACGGTCCAAACTTATATATACGTTTTTTCAAAATTTGAAACTATGTAAAACAGTAGATCTTCTTTTTGTTTTTTTACATTTGAAAATGTGTAAAAAAACTTTGATCTACTTTTTTTTTTGGTTACATTTGAAAATATGTAAAAAAAACGTAGATCTACTTTTGTAGCACTACACATGTGAATGTAGATCTGCTTGGACTGTTTACGGGTTAAAACAGCGACTTTGCATTGTATTTTCATGTGCTATTTATGGTTGTATTATAGTTTTCCTGGTCTCATTTTATAGAATAAAAGACATATTACAGAAATTGAAATGAAAAGTGTCTTGAAATTGAGGTCAAAGTAGCAGAAATGTTCGATTTTTGCATAAGTTCAAAAGTAAACAAATGCCACGTGCCCAATATATGTCAACTAGTGAGCCTAATATTCTTTCACAAGTGCGCTGATATTATTTATACTATTTCTACACTAATGCAGTAGTCTGCATAACAGTAAATCTTCTATTTTTTTTTTTGTAAGAATAAAAATTCAAAGTGGAAAGCAAAAGAAATGTAAGAGAGGACTGGGGACGTGACTAATGAACAGAGAAAATTTTATTTTAGTGCCAGGAATGTCTTGTTTATTCTGGACCCTATTTGGAAATTGGCATATACAGTGGACCCCCGCATAGCGACTTTAATCCGTGCAAGAGGGCTCATTGTTATGCGAAATGATCGGTATGCGAATGAATTTTCCCCATAAGAAATAATGGAAATCAAATTAATCCGTGCAAGACACCCAAAAGTATGAAAAAAAAAATTTTACCACATGAAATATACGTTTTCCTACACACACAGAGAAGGATACATGCACAATAGTAGAGTAGTACATGCACAATATATATTGTGCATGTACTACTCTACTAAATGAAGAATAAATGACACTTACCTTTATTGAAGATGCAGCAATGACTGATGAGACACTGTGTCATGGGAGTGCCTTTTCCTCCTGAGTACTGTAGGTCCTGTTTGGCATTTTCTTCCAGAACAGGCCTTATCACACTGTGTATGCCACTACGATTCTTAAATCTCTCAAACCAACCTTTGCTGGCTTTAAATTCACCAATATGAGCACTAGTTCCAGGCATTTTTCCCTGTTCACCTGGGTGTTAGTCGACTGGTGTGGGTTGCATCCTGGGAGACAAGATTAAGGACCCCAATGGAAATAAGTTAGTCTTCGATGACACTGACTTTTTTGGGTTATCCTGGGTGGCAAATCCTCTGGGGTTAATTGTTTCTTGGTATTCTCAATAAGCCACACCAACAACGGTGCTACAGCAGCAGCAGCAGCAGCTGACAGTGCTACAGCAGCAGCAGCAGCTGACAGTGCTACAGCAGCAGCAGATGATGCTACAGCAGCAGCAGATGGTACTACAGCAGCAGCTGACAGTGCTACAGCAGCAGCAGACGATGCTACAGCAGCAGCAGACGGTACTACAGCAGCAGCTGATGGTGGTACAGCAGCAGCAGCAGCTGACAGTGCTACAGCAGCAGCAGACGATGCTACAGCAGCAGCAGACGGTACTACAGCAGCAGCAGACGGTACTACAGCAGCAGCAGCAGCAGCAGCAGCAGCAGCAGCTGATGGTGGTACAGCAGCAGCAGCAGCTGACAGTGCTACAGCAGCAGCAGACGATGCTACAGCAGCAGCAGACGGTACTACAGCAGCAGCAGCAGCAGCTGACGGTGGTACAACAGCAGCAGCAGCTGACGGTGCTACAGCAGCAGCAGCAGCAGCTGACAGTGCAGCAGCAGCAGCAGCAGCTGACGGTGGTACAGCAGCAGCAGCAGCTGTACCACCAATAGTAGTGATGGTTGATTGGGGTTTATTATACAACCTGGCCAGCTCGGAGACACGCACTCCACTTTCATACTTATCAATGATCTTTTTCTTCATCTCTATAGTAATTCTCACCCTTACTGCTGTAGGGTTGGCACTAGAAGCTTTCTTGGGGCCCATGGTCACTTATTTTGCAGATAAAATCACCAAAAACACTGTAATAATACGAAATGTTCTGATTGTATGCTTGGATGTTACCGCGGAGGCTGGCTGGTAAACAATGCCACCGGCGGCACATGTGAGGCTGGCTAAGGGCGCACTTTGGACGCGTCTCGGACGAAGAGTGGTGAGCGGGTTTTTGAGCGGTATGCGAGGCAAAATTTTTGCGATAAAAGCGAGAGGTATGCGGATTGTACGTTATGTGATGGCGATGGTATGCGGGGGTCCACTGTATTGAAATTTGTGTGAAATTGGCAAAATTGCCAATTTCTGACCACTTTATTGGATAGTTGAAATCGGTACTCATTGTACTCATTCGATAGAAAAAATGGAGTTCTAGCGAAATAGTTATGATTTTTGTTGACTTATACATTGGAATTGGCCGAAAATAGGGCTCAAAGTGGGCAAAATCACCGATGCGTAAACTTCACGAGAGCATAATTCCATAAATTTTCCATCAGATTTCATACTTTTTGTGTCATTATGATTGGGAAAAGATTCTCTATCATTTCATAAGAATTTTTTTTTTTTTTTTTTTTTTTAAATTTCCGACTCTGAGGAGAGGGCCTGCCGAACCTGAAAGGGTTAAATGTCACAGTATGTTATGTGTGGGTGAGGGTGGCCTGGTATGGTAGGTATGGTAGCCTGGCTGGTTACCATACACGCCACACTTGATTTCTTACAATACGTACTACTCATCTCGCCCTGCATTAAGACTATAAATATTTTAACCTTTTCAGGGTCCATGTCATAGATCTACGGCTTTATGTTCAGGGTCTAAACCGTAGATCTACGCCATGAGCTCAGCTCACTCTGATAAGCTGTGAGCAGTAAATTTGGGCCTAGATATGAGAGAATACATCTATGTGATATGTGTGCACCACATAAAACAAATCCTGCAGCACACAGTGCATAATGAGAGAAAAAACTGAGACCGTAATTTTCGATTAAAACAGCGACTTTGCAGTGTTTTTCAATATGCTTTTATATAGTTATATTTGCAATTACCTGGTCTCATTTGATAGAATGGAAGATATACTACAGAAATAGAGATGACTTTGATTGGTTTAGTACTGGAAATGGCTTGAAACTGAGCTCAAAGTAGCAGAAATGTTAATTTTTTGCCAATGTTCAAGAGTAAACAAATTACCTCACAAGTCTAATACACACCAGCTGGTGGGTCTAATATACATTCACAAATGTGGTGATATTATTTATACAATTATTACAGTATTGCATAACAATAAATCTTCTATATTTTGGTTTGAATAAAAATTCATTACGTGAATAAAAAATAAAAATGGAATTCATTTGTAGAGCCTGAAAACATAACTAATGAACAGAGGAAATGTTAGTTTAGTGCCAGGAATGCCTGCATTGTTTATTCTGGACCCTGTTTTGAAATTGGAATATTTTGAACATTGCATTAAATTGGCCAAATTACCAATTTCTGGTCACTTTATTTTGTTGTTTGAAACAGTTGACTTGGCAATTTCTTGTGCTCAATTGATAGAATAGAAGTAATACTAGTGAAATAGCTAAGAATTTGGTTGACTGGAATACTGTAATTGGCCTAAAATGGGAGTCAAAGTTGGCAAAATCGCTGATGCGTAAATATCTCCGACACATCAAAATTCGCGAGAGCATAATTTCGTCAATTTTCCATCAAATTTCGTGCTTTTTGTTTTATTACCTTCAGAAAAAGATTACCATTTCGTTAGAAAAAATAACAAAATTATTTTTTGAAAATTCTTGGACCCTGGTGCACACTTTGAAATTTGGCCCCTGGACCCTGAAAGGGTTAAGGTAAGCAATGAGTGTATTTTATGTGTATTTTACTTTTTTATTGTTTTTAATGCCTAGTTCTATTGCTAACTTAATATATGTTAATGTAAACTTGTTATCTAGTATTTATATGCATTTATAAGTAGGGGAAAAAAAAGGGCGTTCCACATTATAGCGATTTCCGCTTTATGGCGGTAGCCTAGAACCTAACTTGCCAGATAAGTGGGGCCCTACTATACTGTTGTTACTGCTTGCAGGATCTGTATGGTTACAGTGAGAAGAGTGATGTTTACAGTGTGGGCATCGTAGTTTGTGAGTTAGGCAATGGAGAAGTGCCATACAGAGGTATACCTTCAACTCTTATGCTACTGGAGAAGCTGGAAGACAGAGTACCATATCTCTATGATGCCTCCACCTGTTCTCAGAATGTAGAGAATGGACAAGGTACAGTACATCTTACTATTATGCCCAAGTCTTTTGTATGTACACTGGTTTTTTGATGCACCAACCCAGAAGGCAGGCAGATGGACTAGAACCAGTGTTTTGCTCTAAGTGATGGGGAAATTTCCTTTTCACTCAAATTTGAGCAAGTTATGGAGATGGCTTGCACTGCAAGTATTAAACTAAGATTTCTTTGTTATACTGGAGGTCTCAGCCTGGAACCTAACCTAATTGTATAAGAAGGGGCCCTCCTGTATAGCAGTAGCCTGGAACCTAACCTCCTGTATAAGAGGGGCCCTCCTGTGCAGCAGTGGCCTGGAACCTAACCTGGTGTATAAGAGGGGGCCCTCCTGTGCAGCAGTAGCCTGAACCTACCTGTATAAGAGGGCTCTGTAAGCAGTAGCCTGGAACCTAACCGTGTGGGCGCGTAGGCTGAACCTAACGTTATAAGAGGGGCTCCTTCTGTCAGCAGTAGCCTGGAACTAACTGTAAAAGGGCCCTGTACAGCAGTAGCCTGGAACCTAACCTGGTGTATAAGAGGGGCCGTCCTGTACAGCAGTAGCCTGGAACCTAACCTGCTGTATAAGAGGGGCCTTCCTTCCTGTCCAGGAGTAGCCTGGAACCTAACCTAACTGTATAAAAGGGGCCCTCCTGTACAGCAGTAGCCTGGAACCTAACCTGGTGTATAAGAGGGGCCATCCTGTACAGCAGTAGCCTGGAACCTAACCTGCTGTATAAGAGGGGCCTTCCTTCCTGTCCAGGAGTAGCCTGGAATCTAACCTAACTGTATAAGAGGGGCCCTCCTGTACAGCAGTAGCCTGGAACCTAACCTGGTGTATAATGGGAGCCTTCCTGTACAGCAGTAGCCTGGAACCTAACCTGGTGTATAATGGGAGCCTTCCTGTACAGCAGTAGCCTGGAACCTAACCTGGTGTATAATGGGAGCCTTCCTGTACAGCAGTAGCCTGGAACCTAACCTGGTGTATAATGGGAGCCTTCCTGTACAGCAGTAGCCTGGAACCTAACCTGGTGTATAATGGCAGCCTTCCTGTACAGCAGTAGCCTGGAACCTAACCTGGTGTATAATGGGGCCTTCCTGTATCAGCAGTAGCCTGGAACCTAACCTGGTGTATAATGGGAGCCTTCCTGTACAGCAGTAGCCTGGAACTTAACCTGCTGTATAAGAGGGGCCCTCCTGCACAGCAGTAGCCTGGAACCTAACCTGGTGTATAATGGGGGCCCTCCTATATAGCAGTAGCCTGGAACCTAACCTGGTGTATAAGAGGGGTCATCCTGTACAGCAGTAGCCTGGAACTTAACCTGCTGTATAATGGGGGCCCTCCTGTACAGCAGTAGCCTGGAACCTAACCTGGTGTATAACGGGAGCCTTCCTGTACAGCAGTAGCCTGGAACCTAACCTGGTGTATGAGAGGGGCCATCCTGTACAGCAGTAGCCTGGAACCTAACCTGGTGTATGAGAGGGGCCATCCTGTACAGCAGTAGCCTGGAACCTAACCTGGTGTATAATGGGAGCCTTCCTGTACAGCAGTAGCCTGGAACCTAACCTGGTGTATAATGGGAGCCTTCCTGTACAGCAGTAGCCTGGAACCTAACCTGGTGTATAATGGGAGCCTTCCTGTACAGCAGTAGCCTGGAACCTAACCTGGTGTATAATGGGAGCCTTCCTGTACAGCAGTAGCCTGGAACTTAACCTGCTGTATAAGAGGGGCCCTCCTGTACAGCAGTAGCCTGGAACTTAACCTGCTGTATAAGAGGGGCCCTCCTGTACAGCAGTAGCCTGGAACCTAACCTAACTATACAAGAGGGGCCCTCCTGTACAGCAGTAGCCTGGAACCTAACCTAACTGTATAAGAGGGGCCCTCCTGTACAGCAGTAGCCTGGAACCTAACCTAACTGTATAAGAAGGGCCCTCCTGTACAGCAGTAGCCTGGAACCTAACCTAACTGTATAAGAGGGGCCCTCCTGTACAGCAGTAGCCTGGAACCTAACCTAACTGTATAAGACGGGGCCCTCCTGTACAGCAGTAGCCTGGAACCTAACCTAACTGTATAAGAGGGGCCCTCCTGTACAGCAGTAGCCTGGAACCTAACCTAACTGTATAAGAGGGGCCCTCCTGTACAGCAGTAGCCTGGAACCTAACCTAACTGTATAAGAGGGGCCCTCCTGTACAGCAGTAGCCTGGAACCTAACCTAACTGTATAAGAGGGGCCCTCCTGTACAGCAGTAGCCTGGAACCTAACCTAACTGTATAAGAGGGGCCCTCCTGTACAGCAGTAGCCTGGAACCTAACCTAACTGTATAAGAGGGGCCCTCCTGTACAGCAGTAGCCTGGAACCTAACCTAACTGTATAAGAGGGCCCTCCTGTACAGCAGTAGCCTGGAACCTAACCTAACTGTATAAGAGGGGCCCTCCTGTACAGCAGTAGCCTGGAACCTAACCTAACTGTATAAGAGGGGCCCTCCTGTACAGCAGTAGCCTGGAAACCTAACCTAACTGTATAAGAGGGGCCCTCCTGTACAGCAGTAGCCTGGAACCTAACCTAACTGTATAAGAGGGGCCCTCCTGTACAGCAGTAGCCTGGAACTTAACCTGCTGTATAAGAGGGGCCCTCCTGTACAGCAGTAGCCTGAAACCTAACCTAACTGTATAAGTGGGGCCCTCCTGTACAGCAGTAGCCTGGAACCTAACCTAACTGTATAAGAGGGGCCCTCCTGTACAGCAGTAGCCTGGAACCTAACCTAACTGTATAAGAGGGGCCCTCCTGTACAGCAGTAGCCTGGAACCTAACCTAACTGTATAAGAGGGGCCCTCCTGTACAGCAGTAGCCTGGAACTTAACCTGCTGTATAAGAGGGGCCCTCCTGTACAGCAGTAGCCTGGAACCTAACCTAACTGTATAAGAGGGGCCCTCCTGTACAGCAGTAGCCTGGAACCTAACTGTATAAGAGGGGCCCTCCTGTACAGCAGTAGCCTGGAACTTAACCTGCTGTATAAGAGGGGCCCTCCTGTACAGCAGTAGCCTGGAACTTAACCTAACTGTATAAGAGGGGCCCTCCTGTACAGCAGTAGCCTGGAACTTAACCTGCTGTATAAGAGGGGCCCTCCTGTACAGCAGTAGCCTGGAACCTAACCTAACTGTATAAGAGGGGCCCTCCTGTACAGCAGTAGCCTGGAACGTAACCTAACTGTATAAGAGGGGCCCTCCTGTACAGCAGTAGCCTGGAACCTAACCTAACTGTATAAGAGGGGCCCTCCTGTGCAGCATAGCCTGGAACCTAACCTAACTGTATAAGAGGGGCCCCCTGTACAGCAGTAGCCTGGAACTAACCTAACTGTATAAGAGGGGCCCTCCTGTACACAGTAGCCTGGAACTAACCTGACTGTATAAGAGGGGCCCTCCTGTACAGCACTAGCCTGGAACTTAACCTAACTGTATAAGAGGGGCCCTCCTGTACAGCAGTAGCCTGGAACTTAACCTGCTGTATAAGAGGGGCCCTCCTGTACAGCAGTAGCCTGGAACCTAACCTAACTGTATAAGAGGGGCCCTCCTGTACAGCAGTAGCCTGGAACCTAACCTAACTGTATAAGAGGGGCCCTCCTGTACAGAGTAGCCTGGAACCTAACCTAACTGTATAAGAGGGGCCCTCCTGTACAGCAGTAGCCTGGAACTAACCTAACTGTATAAGAGGGGCCCTCCTGTACAGCAGTAGCCTGGAACCTAACCTAACTGTATAAGAGGGGCCCTCCTGTACAGCAGTAGCCTGGAACCTAACCTAACTGTATAAGAGGGGCCCTCCTGTACAGCAGTAGCCTGGAACTTAACCTAACTGTATAAGAGGGGCCCTCCTGTACAGCAGTAGCCTGGAACCTAACCTAACTGTATAAGAGGGGCCCTCCTGTACAGCAGTAGCCTGGAACCTAACCTAACTGTATAAGAGGGGCCCTCCTGTACAGCAGTAGCCTGGAACCTAACCTAACTGTATAAGAGGGCCCTCCTGTACAGCAGTAGCCTGGAACTTAACCTGCTGTATAAGAGGGGCCTTCCTTCCTGTCCAGGAGTAGCCTGGAACCTAACCTAACTGTATAAGAAGGGCCCTCCTGTACAGCAGTAGCCTGGAACCTAACCTAGCTGTATAAGAGGGCCCTCCTGTACAGCAGTAGCCTGGAACTTAACCTGCTGTATAAGAGGGGCCTTCCTTCCTGTCCAGGAGTAGCCTGGAACCTAACCTAACTGTATAAGAAGGGCCCTCCTGTACAGCAGTAGCCTGGAACCTAACCTGGTGTATAATGGGAGCCTTCCTGTACAGCAGTAGCCTGGAACCTAACCTAACTGTATAAGAGGGGCCCTCCTGTACAGCAGTAGCCTGGAACCTAACCTGGTGTATAATGGGAGCCTTCCTGTACAGCAGTAGCCTGGAACCTAACCTGGTGTATAATGGGAGCCTTCCTGTACAGCAGTAGCCTGGAACCTAACCTAACTGTATAAGAGGGGCCCTCCTGTACAGCAGTAGCCTGGAACTTAACCTGCTGTATAAGAGGGGCCTTCCTTCCTGTCCAGGAGTAGCCTGGAACCTAACCTGCTGTATAAGAGGGGCCCTCCTGTACAGCAGTAGCCTGGAAGTTAACCTGCTGTATAAGAGGGGCCCTCCTGTACAGCAGTAGCCTGGAACTTATCCTGGTGTATAAGAGGGGCCCTCCTGTACAGCAGTAGCCTGGAACCTAACCTAACTGTATAAGAGGGGCCCTCCTGTACAGCAGTAGCCTGGAACTTAACCTAACTGTATAAGAGGGGCCCTCCTGTACAGCAGGAGCCTGGAACCTAACCTAACTGTATAAGAGGGGCCCTCCTGTACAGCAGTAGCCTGGAACCTAACCTAACTGTGTAAGAGGGGCCCTCCTGTACAGCAGTAGCCTGGAACTTAACCTGGTGTATAAGAGGGGCCCTCCTGTACAGCAGTAGCCTGGAACCTAACCTAACTGTA